TGAAGTCAAAATTTGTACGTAAAGTCTATCTATCAAAAAAAAAAGTCACATTCAAAATTCCTTATATAATTCATTATTTTTCTTATCTAATTCCTTCTTTTCCTTATCTAATTCCTTTTTATTATCTAATTGTATGAAAATCTGTTCTGATTTTGTTCAATCCTCTAATTGTATTTGTATTATATTCCATAAAATCGGTTTAACAAAAAAAATTCCATAACATCCGATAAGTAAAAAAAAAAGTACGTAAAATCTTTACTAAAATAAAAAGGCTTTATTTATTATCTAATTTATTATAATATGTTCTGATTTTATGGTAAGTACTAAAAATTGTGCACGTGTTCAGGAGCTAATTAACGGGCAAGCTCTGTGGAAATGACTCATTTAGTGCTTTTATCCCGTGCATACGGTATGTATTTTTATTACACATACTAAAAAATTGTGCACCCCGTGCATCGCACAGGCTCTGTACTAATAAATGACCTTAAAATTGTGCACATCGTGCATCACTCGTGTTCACATTTTGGCCTATTACAGGTCACGTACTATATATATCATGTACATTTTTTTTTATTCATTTATATAATTATAAGAATGGATAAATGACCTTAAAATTGTGCACCCCGTGCATCGCACGGGCTCTGTACTAGTAACATTTAAAAAGAAAAAGATTATTATTTTACTAATCATGTTGAGGATTCCGTCTTCACGGCTGGAACAGTAGAGACGACAGAATGAAAAACGGAGTTGATTAGAATGTACCAACACACAAGCTGCCAAAACCCAAGTGTGAGAAATTCAAATCCATGGATTTTGCCCTGTCAACCAGGCAAAAGGCCAAAACAAAATTACACACAACTTCCCTCTCTCACCTTTCTTCATCTCCTCACTGTGGTTTCTGTGAGTAGTCCCATCACTCCCCCCTAAGCTCTGTGTCTCTCATTTACACGCAGTGGACGGTGTGGGGCGGGTCGTGGTGCATTTAATGCGGGACCCCTTGTTTTAGCTCAGCTGCCTGCGTTTCCCTCTCTCCCAGGTTTGGCCCATTTTATTTATTTTTTATTTAAATTTCTTTTGTATGTTTTTCTTTTTCTACCAAAAGATTGTTGTCAATCGAAGCTTTGTCGTCTGATTTTAGACTATATTTCTTGTTGTTGTTTCCAGAAATCTTGCTAAAGCCCTCATATTTATTTATTTGTCTGACTTTTGAAACCTTTTCTTGTGTTACTTTTTTTTTTTTTTTGGTAGAGTTGNNTTTTTTTTTTTTTTTTGGTAGAGTTGCTGGCCTTTTGAGATTCGAAGCTCTTTTAGCTCACACCCAGATCTATTTCCTGCCACAAATGTTGAGATTGTTCAAATTTATTTAGCTCAGTCTCTTGGTTCTATTGAAGAAATGATGTTTTTGTGTAGAAATTCTACGACAGTCTGAGAAAAATCCAGTTGGAGTGGATTTTGTGGGGGTGCGAAAAATGGAGGCAAGAATGAACAAGTATAGGCAAGTCAGCCCTGAACGTGCCAAAGTGTGGACTGAAAAATCGCCCAGATATCACTACAATAACCATCACTATAACCAGCACCAGCAACAGCAGCAGCCGCAAAGCAATCGAAAGGTGCCGGTGGTTTACTATCTGTGTAGGAATCGGCAGCTCGAGCATCCCCATTTCATGGAAGTCCCTCTATCTTCATCTGATGGCCTTTACTTGAGAGGTAACCTAAATAAGTCACTTCACTTTGAATGTGTACAAGTGTTGGATTTCTTTGGTGGTTATGTGTTTGTTTCTGTAGATGTGATTGAAAGGCTTAATTCTTTGAGGGGCACAGGGATGGCTTCGCTGTATTCTTGGTCTTGCAAGAGGTGAATACAATTCTTTCTTGATTTATTTGACTTTTTTTTTCTTTTTTTTTTTATTCAGATTTTTTTTTTTTTCCTTTGCTAGTGAATTCAATCTGTGGGTGGTTGCAGGAGTTATAAGAACGGGTTTGTGTGGCACGATCTTTGCAATGACGATTTAATCCTTCCTGCTCATGGGAATGAGTATGTTCTCAAGGGCTCGGAGCTCTTTGATGAATCCAATCTCGGTAAATATTAACACTTAATGCTGTTTTCTGTGGTTTAATGTTCAAATGTGGTGAACTTGTTTGAGAAAGGCTGCTCTGGTTGAACTAAACAGGAATTTGTCAGTGCTTTTATTTTAGTTTGCCAACAGATTTGGCACTCAAACATGGCAACCTGCTACTAGAATAGTTACGCAATTTTCCTATAAGTTAAGCAACAAAACTTGTGACACAGAATGTTCTATAAACTGGTGTTAATGGGAAAACCTCCCAAAACGTTCACTCCGATAGCTTCTTCCAGACTTGCTGGGTGAAGAGAAAAGCAAACATTTACCATTTTTGTGCGAAGATTTTTTTTGATAGAAAATAAATAAATATTGACATACTTATTTCTTTCTTTTTTCTTTTTCGGGTTTTAGGCAACTTCAGCCCTGCAGCTGAAATAGTCACTCTCCGTAACCAAAAAGCACTTCCCGAGCCACCACTATCTTCCAGAAGTCAGGATGAGTCGTCCTCCTCATCCAGCCTCAACCCCAAAACCTCCCAGGAAGACGAGTCATCTCCACCCGATCAACAACCTTCTCCATCCTGGAACAACTCCCTCAGCCTGGCTGAGTACAAAGTCTACAAAAATGATGGCCTCTCGGATGCCGCCACCCAAACCGACGACAACTCCGCCACCTGCATGAGGGGCGTCTCCACTGAAGACGAAAATAATGCTAATAATAATAATAATAATAATAATAATAATAATAATAATAATAATAAT